TACACCATCCTTATCATTATTAAAAAGTAGCAACAACAAATGAATAATAATTATATGTCCAGAGGAAAGGGAATAGTGTAAAATCGACAAATATAGAATATATTTTCTCATGACATGAAAGAATAGTGTAAATATGTGGCCATGCTGCGTTCAAGACACAATTCTTCTATAAATAATAAAACCATTATACCAGATGACAAACTTAGTTATCCTGTCACACTAATCCTTGTTTACAATGAACGCATGTCTAAACAAATATCCTTTTTTATATACTTAAGTAGAAGTATCACGATGGACAGTGCATACAACTGTTTGTCAAACAATATCAAGCAATATTTTCGATTCAGAATCACCATACCATGACATAACAGAAACATATATATTAAATTGTATATATTCATATTTGCCGCTATTCACGATAAATTTATTTTACCGTCACTGTTTAAAACTACTCTGAACTACTTGTATGCATAGATCATCAAATTTGGAAACAGTAGGCGGACGTATTATATATCTAACTGTTACAAAAGTCTGCTGAAATCTTCTATTTCTTTATTATGTAAAATGCTGTCAACATGAATAAATGCCAATTATTTCATAACACTCCAAATATAGTTGTCATAATGAACATAGTTTGTCACATGCAATAATACTGTCCGGTATTATTAGTAATATTTTCAATATCAACCACATATTGTGAGAATCCAGTAAGAAGAAACTGAGTGAAGCAGTGGTAAAATCTATCCATATATACAAAATTGTATATTTTTGGATATACAGTAAACCACGGTTAAAACGAACACGCTTATAACGAACTGACGGATATAACGAACTTACTTTTTGGTCCCAACTATTTGATGTAGTTATGCTGTATATATGCTTATAACGAACTACGGTTATAACGAACTAAAATTAGTAGTCTCTTTGGGTTCGTTATAACCGTAGTTTACTGTACCATATATACAAAATTGTATATTTTTGGATATACCACATATACAAATTGTATATTTTGTATATATTGGAATTTTCCCTATGGATGTACCTCGCTTATGGGTACAAAATAGATGAAGGTGGTGGACATCGTCTAAACGCGTCATAAACTGAAAACTGAATTCTCGAGACATTCGACAGTGAATCAGACTGAAGCATTATCTACAACGATATATTAATCGGTAACGAACAATACACACAGAATATCTGCTACAATTACAATATTTTGCTTGACTGAGTGGACTTTGCAATTGCAAGGGATTCACATTATCAAATACTAAATCTAAAATATCTATTTTCCCGTCCGAGCGGGCATTTCATCCTAAACGACTTGAAAGAAATCGGTCTGTATTAGAACTTTTAAAGTATATCTGAATAACTAATTGCTTGTTTTTTAATTTAATGTGATGCTTTCATCAACAAAGATTAATGAAGGTTCTGGTCATCTGATCAGGAGGTTAAAATAAATTATTGTCCCCATGTGTGACACGTAATCCTATCATAATCGATGTAACTATCATCAACCAGTGTTTTAAGCCAACTCATTGTTGAGTATTTTTCACAGACCGCCGTCATATAGCTGGAATATTGCTGAGTGCGGCGTTAAACATCAAACAAACAAACACTTTTTTGTGAATAAAATAATGGGGTTGCTGTTTTGTGAAAGGTAGGACGACAGCACGAAGGATTGCATCTATGTATCGTTGGACGGTTAGGTTTCCATCAACTGCCACTGTTTGTCGGCTGACCGTATGACCTGACGCATTTCTCTACTGAAGACATCACTGTGTGGCAGCGATTGCGGAGATGTAACGTACTCAAGTACCGGTCTTCCAAGGGCATGGTCTACCTCAGTCTTACTGTTCTTGGCCTGTTTTATATGCCCAGTCTTCCTGTACCCTTGCATCAAGTTGGTGACAGCAACACAGGAACAGCCAAAGGCTCTTGCTATGTGTGCATGTGTTGCTCGCACGCCTTGTTCGAGTGTCAGTCGTGGCATTCTCCTGGTAGTTCTTTAACCTTGTGGAGGTATGAGGCTACTGTATAGTTTTTATAGCCTTGTTACATGTGGATTATCGTTTAAAAGTTCAACATCAAATGTACATATGTATATATAAATGTACAAAAATTGTCTAATATAATTTAATGCTTTCAAAGCCTTTTGTTAGGGTAAAATATGCTCGAACAGATACCGTTCGTCTAATATGTGTTTCACATGACAGTCGACCTGTAGAGTAGGTCTTCAGCACTCCATGCTTGCCGTAAAAGGCGACTATGCTTGTCGTAAAAGGTCACTAACGGGATCGGGTGGTCAGGCTCGCTGACTTGGTTGATGCATGTCATCGAATTCCAAGTACGTGGATCGATGCTCATGATGTCAATCACTGATTTGTCTGGTCCAGACTCGATTATTTACAGACCGCCGTCATATAGCTGGAATATTGCTTAGTGAGGCGTTAAACAACAAGCAAAACAAACATGACAGTCATATTTCCCAACAACACGGTTTTAAGACCATACGCTTTCACATAAAGGAAACCATTTGATCACGTGTTCGAATATGTTTAACATTGAAATAGATAATATAATGAAGACTGTCTTCGTAATAATAACCACAACTACACTTGGGATCAATGGCAATAAAACGGTCGGGTCATTACAATTGAGTCTCATTCTACGGTGTATTCTGGAGATGAAGTGATAAAGAGGTGATTTAATGTGTTATTTATGACCAGGTGAGGTGAGGTGAAATGGGGTTTAACGTCGCGTCCAAGATTATTGCACTTATATAGCGACGTGCATGTACGTGTGTGTGTTTGTGTGGCTGCTTGTGATAGTCCGGACTGATGCCGATTTAAAGTGCTAGCTCACTGAGATACCATGCCGCAGTTTAACATGAATACCCCACTCAGACACAGTATACTGAGTCCCAGCCGACCAGTCCTTGTTTTACCTTTTAATGCCGAGTGCCAGACAGGGTAACAACAAATCTCAAAATTCCCAAATTCTATATAAGCAACCCCTAAAACCCCCCTCTTGGGTTGCACAGACCACCTTCGCCCCTTTCGGAAACACATTAAATGGCCTGGCCGGGCCCGTGTGCGAAATACGCATCAGTCGGAAAGCGCACGTTAAATCTCCAAAGTAAGTAAGTAAGTAAGTAAGTGAGCATCAGTCAATCCTGCCAAAATGACTGAGGAATCCATGGAAGGACCTAGCGTGTCCCGGGGATACCTGGATCAGAACAGATCAAAGGGAAGAGGAAAATTAAGGCATGGTCTATAGATGACAAGTATGCGGCTGTGATTGAACCAGAGCAAGGGGAGTCTGGTTTAATTTAGCGATGAAATTAAAAATGTTCCACAGAACATCGTTTATAAGTGGCTTAGCATCTGACAAAACAGAAGCTAGTTCATGATGACCGACATTCGAGTTTAGTGCAATGACTACATAATGCAAGTTGTTATTTGTAGACTCGTATCATATTTTTTAGACATGAAATAAAGATTGCAATCCTCATGACTATTATATTAGTGATTATTTGTGTCTCATATCAATGTACGTGTGTGTAACAGTGCATAAAGAATGTGAGGTAGATGATTTAAAAAAGGCACACAAGTCGTAGTTGGTTAACTACAAAATCTGTTAAATAGATATCTTTTTTCAAGTTTCCACTGTACATTTAGGATCATGAACAATAAAACGATCAAACTTACGTCCTATCAGTACTTAACTGGTTTAACTTATCTAGGATTAGATATACATGTATCAATTATTATAATTTATAATAGATGAAATAACAAAGCACATATGATGAAATTGTACGGCAATAATACTTTGATAAATTATTTTCGACGTTTCGGTTGGAAACTGGGGGTACCTCACGCACCCAGCTGTAGGGTGACACGTGATCCTACAGTTCTACCAGCCTACAGTCAGGGAGAGCAATAACTTCATTCAGGTCAAACATGTAAGCGGGCGTGGTAACGACGTTTTCTCTCCGTAAATTTCGATGTCAAATGTTTTGCCGCATTATAGACGTTTTAAAAGCAAAAGAGAAAATAACCACAAACTGATTCCCTAAGGCGTACATTTCAATCAACAAATATTCACAAACAAACGTGATATATCATCTCAGTGTTATTACACTATCTCTGAGCTGAACTGAACTTTATCACACTCAGGCCGCTATCAGCGGCAATATAGATACAGCATTGATACATCAACTTATACATCAACTTATACATACAAATATACAATATATATCAACTTCAGGCTTCAGTAAATAAAGATACAGGAAAGGGTATACCTCACTTCCATTCTAAACTAGCTCTTGATTACGAAATTGATTGAGATGCCACGTGATTTGACAATGAAAACATTTCTCTTAATCCTAAACCCTCACCTTGATTGAGATACCAGGTGATCTGACAATGAAAACATTTCTCCCAATCCTATCCCCTCTGTTTGAGTGAAATGTCACGTGATCTAACAATGAAAACATTTCTCCTAATCCTATACCCTCTGCTTGAGTGAGATGTCACGTGATCTGACAATGAAAACATTTCTCCCAAGCCTATCCCCTCTGCTTGAGTGAGATGTCACGTGATCTGACAATGAAAACATTTCTCCCAAGCCTATCCCCTCTGCTTGAGTGAGATGTCACGTAATCTGACAATGAAAACATTTCTCCCAAGCCTATCCCCTCTGCTTGAGTGAGATGTCACGTAATCTGACAATGAAAACATTTCTCCCAAGCCTATCCCCTCTGCTTGAGTGAGATGTCACGTAATCTGACAATGAAAACATTTCTCCCAAGCCTATCCCCTCTGCTTGAGTGAAGTGCCACTCACTCAGTCATCACCTAAGCCAGCCGATGAGAATAAAAGGCTATGCGTTGGTCCATGTCAGTAAGTAAGTAAGTCCATGTCAAGTAATTTTACACCTTCATTCTTTCAAGTTGTGTTTAGAACTTCTACGCACCTGCTGAAACTTTCTTGTTTGAAAGGATGGATCAGATTCAGGTATGTTAGTTGACAGTTTATATTATGCGGTTAGAAAATGCCCTTAACACTGTGTCAGGTCGTAAGACCCGACTTAATTTGATCGTCAGGCTCGGTGACTTGTTTAATTATCGGTGTGGGTTGTTATCAACGTCTGACCAATCATCGATTATTCAGAGATGCAGCTAGAATATTTCTGGCTCACTGTTATACTTGTATAAAAAAATAAAATGATAATGAACAAAAATACAATTTTCCGCAATTGTATGTGAAGGGATGTACATATTACTTTAGATGTCTCTACAAATGTGTCATATGATAGTATGAGTTCATTCATATTATTTGTCAAAGCGTAATTGTGCTTATTCTCCTGCAGGCCCCTGCCAGATGTCTGTTCCCAAAGTACACAGCTTCCTCTGCACAGATCAACAAAACTCCGACGAAAAACCCAGTGGCCAAATCCCCAGTTCCCTTCTCCATCGGGGACATCATGAAGTCTGTCAGTATCCACAGCCATCGGGATGGAGTACTTGGTAAAACTCAGATAACCGACTCTAGCCGAGTCGGGGCCACAAACACTAGCTTTCCGTTAGAGGAATCACACGAGTTGGATCAAGCGATTGTGACAACCAAGCAAGGCCTGCAGCTTGAGCACCTTCTTCTCCACCAGAAATCAGACTCTCCAAGGACAGTTGACCTTCACCGTACATCCTACAACCCCTTTATCACCTTCCTTGACAGATCCATTATACAAAACACCCAAGGAAGACCCGCTGCTCCTCCAATGGCACTGAATCTGAGTCTCCACCACCTCCAGTCCTGTCCAGAGCTGCCCTTTCCCAGTGTCCAGTCATGCCCAGAACTGTCAAATACCAGTATGAACTCCCAACATCAGCAGAGGACTTGTCAGCCAGATACCAATATTGGGAATAAGATGTCTTCTCCATCAAGTGATGTTTGTGGTAAGATCGTTTTTACATTATTAACAATTTTTTAGTATACAATCTCACTATCACGTTGTGGGTAGATTATATGTCCACTAAAGTTGAATAGTGAAAACAAGTATATCAAGTATATTCTGAGAATTGTCACGTTAATTGTTCAATTTGTTTATAGATGATCTCATCGACGTGGAGAGCACCAGTCCAAATGGAAGTACTGCTTCCAGTGGTTTCTACAGCAACCCGAGCCCAACTCCCAGCTCTGACAGTTCCTCTATGTCAGGGCGAACCTCCCCCAATGCTCAGGAAGAAGTTTGTGTCTCAGAGCGAACCTCTCCCAGTACTCAGGAGGAAGATCGAGTCTCAGAGCGAACTTCCCCGAATACTCAAGAGGAAGAACGTGTTTCAGCGAACCTGAGGAAGAACTACACCAAGAAGCAAGTGAGGCGGTTGAAGCAGGTGTTTCTGGAGAACAAATACCCGGATGTAGAGCTGTATGAAGATCTGTCTCAGGAGCTGGATATTCCAGTACAGAGACTTAAGGTTAACATTTTTATAACATTTCTAAACACTGTAATGTTATGTATTAATGGTGCGTGGTAATGACATGCTTAAACTTCTTCCAAAATAAATATTGATATTAATATATTGATATTCCTCAGAATAAACACAAACCAACTGTAAAATCTGTCACATGATATTCCTTATTATTTTTATCTATTCTATTTTATCTATATATATTGTATTGCCTCCACAGGTGTGGTTCCAGAACAGACGAGCACGCAACAAAAGAGCCTCCGATTCCAGAATAAAGAACTACTCCCTCCACCAGCAGAACATGGCCGCCATGTTGTCGTCTGCTCCAGGATACGGGTACTTGTCTCCCATGATGCACCAGTCCGTGAACCAGTATCCAGTACCCCATGTACCAATGATGTACCCGCCCAGTCTGTACCCAGGGTACCCCTACCCGTTCCACTATCAGCAGTGAAGCAGCGTCAGAACCCCCACATAGTGCTTGTTAATCATGTTCACGCTTCATTTTGTTTTTCGTTGTAAATAAATTTGTTTTAAAATGAGTTTATTGTTTATCTACTTTATTAAAATAAAACTTTATATTATCATGCATTTCTCCTGACGAATTATTCTAGATTAATAGCACTGGATCCTAGCAACGTCTACCGTAAAACCTTTTGAAAGTTTGACTGAGGCAAATCTTTGAAGGGTCTATCTATAAGAAAGAACCAGATCTTCACCATGACAATGACATTCACATCCCTTTCGGGTATGGAAACCCACGAGCATGTACACCCTTTCGTGAAATATTTTTAAGCTTAACCAAATAAGTTAAAAAAGAAAATCTTCACCCTATAGTTTACGTACGGTGGGGATACGGGTCTTTAGACCCTAAACACGTTAACTTAGCTGTTGAACACAATTCTAAACACGTTTAGCTGTTGAACACAATTCGTAACGCGTTGAGCTGTTGAACACAATCCTTAACACGTTTAGCTGTTAAACACAATCCTAAACACGTGAAGCTGTTAAACACAATCCTAAACACGTGTAACTGTTAAACACAATCCTAAACATGTTTGGCCACTAAACACAATCCTAAACATGTTTAGCCACTAAACACAATCCTAAACATGTTAAGCTGTTGAACACAATCCTAAACACGTTTAGCTGTTGAACACAAATCTAAACGCGTTGAGCTGTTGAACACAATCCTAAACACGTTTAGCTGTTAAACACAATCCTAAACACGTGTAACTGTTAAACACAATCCTAAACATGTTTAGCCACTAAACACAATCCTAAACATGTTTAGCTGTTGAACACAATCCTAAACACGTTTAGCTGTTGAACACAAATCTAAACGCGTTGAGCTGTTGAACACAATCCTAAACACGTTTAGCTGTTAAACACAATCCTAAACACGTGTAACTGTTAAACACAATCCTAAACATGTTTAGCCACTAAACACAATCCTAAACATGTTTAGCTGTTGAACACAATCCTAAACACGTTTAGCTGTTGAACACAAATCTAAACGCGTTGAGCTGTTGAACACAATCCTAAACACGTTTAGCTGTTAAACACAATCCTAAACATGTGTAGCTGTTAAACACAATCCTAAACACGTTTAGCTGTTAAACACAATCCTAAACATGTGTAGCTGTTAAACACAATCCTAAACACGTTTAGCTGTTAAACACAATCCTAAACACGTTTAGCTGTTAAACACAATCCTAAACACGTAAAGCTGTTAAACATAATCCTAAACACGTTTAGCTGTTGAACACAATCCTAAACATGTTTAGCTGTTGAACACAATCCTAAACACGTTGAGCTGTTGAACACAATCCTAAACACGTTTAGCTGTTAAACACAATCCTAAACACGTGAAGCTGTTAAACACAATCCTAAACACGTGTAACTGTTAAACAAAATCCTAAACATGTTTAGCCACTAAACACAATCCTAAACATGTTTAGCTGTTGAACACAATCCTAAACACGTTTAGCTGTTGAACACAAATCTAAACGCGTTGAGCTGTTGAACACAATCCTAAACACGTTTAGCTGTTAAACACAATCCTAAACATGTGTAGCTGTTAAACACAATCCTAAACACGTTAAGCTGTTAAACACAATCCTAAACACATTAAGCTGTTAAACATAATCCTAAACACGTGTAACTGTTAAACACAATCCTAAACATGTTTAGCCACTAAACACAATCCTAAACATGTTTAGCTGTTGAACACAATCCTAAACACGTTTAGCTGTTAAACACAATCCTAGACACGTTTAGCTGTTAAGCACAATCCTAAACACGTTTAGCCGTTGAACACAATCCTAAACATGTTTAGCCATTAAACACAATCCTAAACACGTTTTGACCCAAAATGCTTTACAATTATGGGACATGGGAAGGAACTGAGCATATTTTTACATTATATTTTCGAGTTATGCTTAGAGTGTTATCAACTTACCCGATCGATGAAAGAGGCGTACAATTACACAACAAAACGTTCAAGAAATTGAATATGAATAATAAGTATATTTATGCTAAGGCTGTTAAGTAAAATAGCAATGTCGTAGAATGCAGGTATTCCAGGTCACGAACAATTTCAAATGTGAACAAACATGCAGTGTCTTTCGTTCTTTGTGCAGGTAACAAAGAATAAAACTTGAAAGTTTATGTACGCATTCCAGCAGTATACCAATCAGAATCAATAACTGAGTCAGTGTCATTTGCAGTTCCAGCTCTCGTGTTGTATGCAATCATTACAGTGATATAGTTAATGAAGACGAAGGTTTTCTATTCCACCATAGAGAATGTCTTAATCGTTTTGTTAACGTGGTATTTGTTGTTGTCTTCTCTAAAGATAAAAATCAAAACAATTTGACCGAAAGACTGATTGTATTACAGTTTTTCTTGCTCAAGTCCACACAAACAATCACATGAATACGCATATGGATGCTGGTATTCATGACAATTGACAGACATAGACTGCTGCAGTGATCTAAACGCCGACAAATTTGCCAGATTCATATCTGACAGCCCGAGATGTTGTTGTGGCTATCATACGGAAGATGCACTTCATTTCTTCCTTACGTGTCCCTTAAACAGTACAGTAAGGCAAAACATGTATTATTTCGTAAAAGGCTACGATTTAAATACAATTCTAAATGGTAATTCAAATGAAACGACAGTAACAAATCTTGAAATTTTGAAATCGGTGCAGTTTTATTCTATCTTCTTGCCGATTTAGAGATTTTGTCTGAGATGTTGGCTTTGCTATATGATACTGCGATGTTGTTGTGCTGGACGTAAATAATAATGTAATTGTAGTTATGGAAGATAATTCAGTAATTAAACACTTACAGAACAATACTTATCTTTAATGCCAATTATACAATGTATGCTATTTCTCATGTCACTATCAATACATTGCTATTTGTATATGTATCATGTTTGGGAGAGGCATTCAGATAAGCAAAATTTGCTTGTTTGCCAATCCCTCCACTTTATGGAAATGAATATGTTTATATCACATATAGACATATTTATTAAGTAATAGTTTGCAGTGTGACATGTACGCACATTGTCACAAATATCATTGCATATAAATATATATGAATAGCCGTGTAATGGCACAACATTGAATATTGTAATTGATTTCAGGTATGTATTACCTTAATACTTGTGTGTATGTGATAAAGGAGTAAAGCACTGCCATATGACATCAGAAATATATATCGTGTATGGAATATTAATATATTTACCAATATATTTATGTGAACAGGTGAGAATATCAACAAGAATGCTTGGATCCATGACCATTGCACAACTATGATATATTGTAATTGATAATTATTTCAAAATGACATATGGTAAATGATTATCTTAATTTGACAACTTTACGTAGGACTCGCCTAAAACAACTGAAAGGATTCTCATCTTCACAAGACAGTACAGACAAAGCACACGAAGTCCGGAAGCCCTTTGGGCAGGTAAAACAGTACAATCAACACAATCAGACATGAGTATATTTAGACAACATAATACTATATCACCTCAACATGACACCCTCTCATTAACAATCAGCATCAAGCTCTTGATCACGACACTGAGTGAGCTGTCGTGTGATCTGACTAAGAAAACACTTGTCCTCATCCAATCTCCTCTGTGTCACTCACTCGAACAGGTCGATGACTGTAAAGACCATCAGATGCGGGGAGAGTATTACTACAGCCGCATACTTGCCGGTCGCATTTCAAAGTTACACACCTGCTTACACATACTACCTGTAAATATTGGATCAGATTCAGGTAGTCTGTTCTTATATTATTGGGTACCACAATCGACTCAATACATACTTTTCAGCAATTATTTGTTTTAGCATCTAAGTAGTTCATAATTAAATCTGCAGCTGCTGTATTGAAACATCTATAGCTTTATCACGTGCCCTGTGATTGCTGCAGTATCATATGCTGCGTTTCCAAGTTTGACTGACTTTATTTTGAAATCATTGAAGCAATATACATACTAATCCTTTTCACCCATCATTTGTAGAGGGGTAATACACCATTTTAAAAGATGTTTCAAATTTCTAGGTTATGATCAAATGCTCTTGTCCCGTCTTCAGACAGAACAAATTTGTTGAATGGGCGGCAAACTAACAGTTGTATTGAGAACAGTCGAAAATGTTGACAAGAGTATTATTGGTAAATATTATAGTATTACTTGAACTAATAATCCTTGTTGGAATCCTTTGTAAAGGGGTCATGTATATCAAATTAGAAGGTTCCAATATCCTGTGTTTACTGTTGTCCTTTCTCCTCCTGACTCCAGTCAGATGTCTGTTCCCAGACTACACAAGTGCATCTGCTGAGATCAACTCATTGTCAGCCAAACCCCCATTTCCCTTCTCCAGTGGCGACATCGTGAAGTTTGTCGGCATCCACAACCACCACAGTGTGAAAGCTCCGACTGCCCAGTCCAGCAAAGCTGATTCCGCCATCACAAACACAGTCGCTAATATTCCGTCAGAGGAAACACAGAGACTAGTCCAAGCTGACACAGCGTCAACCAGGCAAGGTCTACGTCCTGAACACCTTCTTCGCCACCAGAAACCAGAGTCTCCACGGACAGTTGACCTTCACCTTACATCCTACAACCCCCTCATCACCTTCCTTGACAGATCCTCCATTCAAAACACCCAAGGAAGGTGCGCCACTCCTCCAATGGCACTTCTTCTGAGTCTCCATCACCTACAGCTGTCAAAACCCCGCATCTACTCCCAACATCAGTCGAACACGAGTCAGTTAGCAGATATTAGTATTGAGAAGATGCGGTCATCTCCATCAAGTGATGTTTGTGGTAAGATTGTTACTAATATAAACATGATGTACGTGTCATTCAGGCACATGACATATAACGTCAGTACTGTGTACACAATAAATACAGACCGACCATATG